CAGAAATTCTCAGAAACCTGAATACCAATGGGAAAACTATACAGGTTATACCTACCCATGAATTAAGTGAAACTAAATGTCTCCAATTCCTATAGAATATAGGAAAGAAGAGTTAGGGACTAACATGCCCATAAATGCCTACAATATTCCAGGTTCATGTAATTTCATGCTGTGAAAAAGGATACCTATAATAACAGATGAGTATGAGCTCAAAAAGATTAAGTCATTTCACCAGTGTCCCACAAATAGGCACAAATCAAAATAAGGCTAAAATTTAAGATCTCTTCCTGAAAAACAGACCCTACCAATAAGGAGAAAGAAAAAAAAATTTAAAAACATAAATTCCATTTTTAATATAACTATGTGAAATTATAATTGTAACCTGAAATACAACTTATAAAGACAGAAAGCTGATGGTGGAATAGGAAATGACCTGGCATAATGAAAGAAGGTTAATATAAATCTCCATAGAAAGAAATAATAAGAAACAACTCTGTTTACTCCGCAGTACCTCAGAAAGGCTTAGAAATCTGAGGTGCTGGGAGAGGCAAGATGACAGAGCCACACTGCTCCACCCTCCCCACCTCTCCACACGACCCCCGACTCCCCTACACACACACTCCTAAGGGAATGAGAGGTATTCCGCAAAACTGAATCAGAGTGTGGCTCGTCTCAGGGATGACACACACAGAAAAAGGGAGAAATAACATGCTGGTATGAAAACAGGAGACAAACTGAAAATTTATAAATCAGTGAGATTTGCAGCTTTCTTCTCATAGCCAGCATTAGAGCCTGACATCAAAACTCATTACTTCTGCCAATCCTCTCCTCTCTCCATTATTCCGTTTATACCGAGGAACAGAAAAATGAAGGAAGAAACTGAAAGCCTTCTTGCCCACCACCTAGAGGAAAGCAAACAAAGATAAAAAAGAAAGGAGTTCATCAGTCACTAAGCTTTGAGACGGCTTCCCAGGTGGCTCAACAGTAAAGAATCCAACTGCTAATCTAGAGACACAGGTTCAATCCCTGGATCGGGAAGAACCCCTGCAGAAGCAAATGGCAACTCACTCCAGTATTCTTGCCTGGAAAATCCCATGGACAGAGAAGCCTGGAGGGCTATCCAGTCTGTGGGTTGCAAAGAGTCAGACAGGACTTGGTGACTGGGCACTCACACATGCTCATACATGCCCAGTGAGCTTTCAATCAGCTTTGTAACATTCTCTTGATTATAAAGGAACTGCTAAGGATCACACAGATCTGAAGAAAGCTTTGAGCAAAAAGAAAGAGACCCAAACAAACAGAAAAAAAGTTAGAGGAAGCAGATACAATGCAAGGCATGGAAGAACATGCCAAAGAAACTATAATTAATATCCTTGAAGAGATAACAGAAGATGACGTACCTGTGAAAAAGAAATAAAATGCTATAATACGGAAACAGAGAAGAGTTCATAAAATATTTTTTTTAAAAGACATCTGAAATTTTAAAACTTGGTTAAAGGATTGAAATCTCCCAAATAGAACAGAAGACAGATGGTTGGAAATCAAAATTCTCAACATCAACACTAGAAGCCAGGCAATAAGGTAACACTTCCAAACTTTTAAGGGAAAATAATTTCCAATACAGAAATCTCTCAACAGCCCAACAGTCAAGCGTGAGGGTAGAAGAAATAAACCTCCCCAAGCCAAAATGAAGGAACAAACCAAAAGGAAGGCATGGGATCCAGGAAAAAAGGACTCAACAAAAGTGAAACAAATTCCCAGAATGAACCAAGATGACAGCTTTGAGGCAGGCTCAAAGAGAACAGAGAACAGAGAACAAATCAGAATAAAGCGGGAAGACAGACAGCTATAGAAAGGATGACTATAGGAATAAATGGAACTGCTAAGTTTATCTGACAGATTTGACCATGTGGAAAATTGTACTGAGAAGCATTTTATAGAGCTGCTAGAGGGCAGAGAGAGACAAAACTTAGCAAATGAAAAAACAAAGCATAAAAAACAAAAGGTTACACAATAAAATAAAATCACAGTAAACTACTATCTCACCAGTGACAAATATTTGGTCAGAATGATGAATACTCTTAACTTGAATTTAATCTAAAATTGCAGAATAACAGTATTAGAAAGACGAAGAAAAAGCCTAGTTTGAAAAATCTTTGAACATCTATCCCTTTAAAATCACTGATATTTACATATACCAAATTATTCAATTCTAAGGAAAGCCTCTATTTTCATTAAATTCTTTAACTACACTTTCAAGGCAAAAAATTAGTGAAATGCCCTGGTTTTGTCTTGGTATCCTTTGCAGGGTCATTCTAAGGAAGTAACTTAATAAAGGCAAAACAAAAATGCTAACAAAAATCAGAAAATCGATACAAGTTTTATTGGTTACTGGATGCAGTTAAGGCAGCTTACTATCAAGTAATATGTCTGTTCTATTTTTTGCTATAAGTTAAATGGTGGACACCAGCAAATATTCACTTTTATCTTCTACACTTAACAGTTAATAATTCATTCTGTCTTACAGGAAAATGGGGTGTGAACTCTTTAGTAGATTACCTCTTTATACAGCAGAACTTGGTTATTGATAGTTTTAAAAATCTAAGATGTTTTCCACTTTTTCTTTTTATAAGAAAGAAATTTAACTTTTACTTGATGACTCAGGTTATCATGCAAGTCAGCTCCAGCACTATGACAAGATGGCCTCAGAGGTTTTAGGTGTGTAAGGCATCAGTCCTTATACTTAATGAATCTAGACTGCTAAATTTTTATAATCCCCCTATCCATCACTTTTAACTTTCAGATATGCAGTCAACAGATCTGTCCTCAATCTGAATTGACCCATCTTTTAAAAGGGGTTTTAAAAAAAAAAATCATGCTTCTGACTCAAGTAACATTCACTAAATGCCCTACTTTTCACAAACACGCACTTTCATTTAATCCAAATAACTTCTGCTGGAAAGGTAGCCAATGTAAAAATGCAGCAGTTCTGACTGAAAACTTATAAAAAAAAATTCTACTAAATAAATACAGGAGCTTAATTGTTTAATGGAGTTTGGGGCTGGATCAGATTTTCACCATGAAATTTACCATCAAGACACTGCAAGCAGTCCTCCTCACTGAGGTTTAGTTTTTTCTCTATAAAGGTAGCATTTCCATTCAAGAAAGAGAGGAAAATTTTACCAGTGTTACTATCTAGTCACTACTTAAAAAACCTATCAATCATGGAAAAACATGTTAATGTAAAAGCTTTCATTGCTTACACTCAGGCTTAATAATGTAAGCTGTTGCCTTCAAACAGAGGACTCTACATGCAATTTTAAATTAGAAAACTTTTTCTTTAACAGCCATTTCACTTTTTTTTTTTTTTGCCATTTCACTTTAAAAGTGATTTATGTGCTCCACTTTTTGAGTTAGAATTGTTAAAGAATGCCTATTTATTTTCAGCCATTCTAATACACTGACAATGCTATATCCATATTAACTTCCTCAAAGAACTTAGACTTCCTCAAAGAACTCAGAAGTGCAAATACACCGTTTACACATCACAAGTAAGACTAATATTGAGCTGTAAATGTGGACTTCCAGGCACTTTCAACTTTTAAATGTAATTATTCGAACAAAATTGCTTTAAAACAAAAATCACCTAAAATCTCAGGCTAAACGTAGTATAAATCCCATCCTCAAAACCACTTTTCTGGAAACAACACTCTCCAAAGCTGTGAGATCCTTGACCTTGTGCCAGAGTACCTGATGGCTATGCTTAGATATCAAAAATTTGCTACAGGCAGACCATCGAAGTAACACTGTTGTTACACTCATGTGCAGCATTTTTTAAAACTGCGAAAAAATACAGAATTTTTCACGATCTAAGGTACCATTAAGTCAGTAATGCTAAAAGTGCTTGACATTTCATTTTTTTCCTAAAACATACTGTGACAACACCGTGTACCAATGTACATTTATAATAAAGATCATTACGTGCTTTCAGCTTTTGATCACATAAAAATCTAATTTTCAACCAGTCTCCACGTGTACCACTCTCAAAACATTGTGCATGAAATAGCTAAATAGGTCTACCTATTTTACAAAAACACTTTCTGAAAATTATATATGCTTAGCCTACATTTTAAAAGAAGATCGTGTAGTCCTATCTGCAATGAGTGCTTAAGAATTTGCCTTTCTCACAACAGTGTAGAGCAATCATCCTCCAATTAAAAATAAATTAAAAAAAATAAAGAGTAAAGAATTTGCCATACTCTGATGCTAAAACATTCTGCAGCCAAGTATTTGGTCAGGCCAAAAAAAAAGTCAATGTTCCTGATTTCATCATTTGCTGCAAGAAAGAAAAAAAATATATATGGCTGAAAATTCTTTTTGAAGGGTGGTATTTCAAACAGGACCACTCAAAATACTTAAGGGAAAGGAGTGTGAAGGGAGGGTACCTTATGAAAACAGCACACTCCAGGCCCTGCACACTACCTCATTTCCCTAATAGGGATGAAAAGCTCAGGCCTCTGGTAGCTTCCAGCTGACGCCAATGCTCTCCACACCCCTTTTCTTGATAGGATTTTCTGGCGTTGGAGCCAGTGTCACAAATATAAATTCGTGATCACGTCTAAACGGTCTAATAATCAAGCACATTTTTACAAGACCAAACCTTTCCCGATCCCGTTCCCTCAAATCTCCCTCCATAGCCAAACACACCCAGGCGGGTCCTCTAGATCGAATTCTACAAACCCTGCCGCGCATTAACTAGGAGGCAGAAACGATACAGAAAATGAGTTTCGGCCATTCCCCACTCTGCGACCGAAATTACAGGCTTCATTTCCTGTCCCCACGGGGACCGCAAAATCGCCTGCAGTGAACGGGAAGCCTCCCGCCCGCTCCCGGTCGGCGCACGCGGCCCCCGCACGCCCCCAGCCCGCGCCCCGCGGGCGCGAGCGTGTGCCTGGGACCCCGGGCGCCCTCCCCTCCCCCCTGCCGGCTTCGGCACCCACCTCGCGGCAGCGGCTTCATCTCCCCGTTCTCCTCGCGGGAGGCCCCGCCAGCTTCGCCCGCCCCGCCGAGACCGTGCCTCCTTCTTTCCTTCTCTCGCTTCTCCTTGGGTCTGCGCGGCTTGGCGCTGGCCGTGGCGGCGGCGGCGGGCAGCAGGAGATGGTGAGGCTGAGCGTGCAGCAGCGTAGGAGGCACCAGCAGTTTGCGCGGCACCGGCTGAGGGGAGGAAGCAGAAACAGAGGAGGGGACGGCCGTGCCAGCGGAGAAAGAGAAATTGCTCCGAGCAGACGACGGGGAGGGGGCAGCGGACAGAGCGGCAAAGCTCCAAGACCCAGGGCTGCCATAGCTCTGAGACGAAGGTGCGGCGGGAGACTGCAGCTGCCTGCTGTTGCCGCTGCTGGCTCCTTCTCCGTTCAGTCTACGCGGCGCCTTCTTCTCCTCAGTGCGGATCTTCTTGGCGGACAGAGGACCCGGCGGGTCCCGGGATGGGGCTTGCAGTTTGCCAAACGATTCTTTCTCCGAGACGGCAGCGGGGGCGCCTTGCATTAGGCTCGGCGGTTCCGCCATTTTGCGCTCCTGTTGTATTTACTCTCCTCGGCTCCCGGGCGCGGGGCAGGGGCGGGCTCTCCTTGGGGGGCGGGGAAGGGGCGGAGCGGTCTGGCCCTCCATTGGTCGAGCCACGCTGAGGGATATCTCCAAGAACCAATCAAAAGCGCGAGTCTCTAGCCGAAGTTGTGTGGGGAATCGCCTAGCATACCCGTTTTGGAGGTCACAGGTCCTCCGGGCGTAGTGGCGGAGCAAGCTGTGAGGGGAGGGTCTTCGAGTTGTCGCCCGCGTGAACTCGGGGGCCCAGTGAATGTCTGAGAGGAACCTTAACTCCAGACCCTGAGTCAGTCCGAACCCAGGTCTCGCTCGTCTCTGCCTCGACGACTTTGTCTTGTACCACTTTCCCCTCTTTTTCCTCTGGGGTCGTTTTGGTCCCTCCCTCTCTCTTCCCCCTCAAAAAGCCGAATTTCGCAGATTCTCAGCTCTGAGGAGAAAATTTTGCCGGAAATTAAATCCTTCCTTCTATTAGGCAGCAGTCGGTTGATGGGAGGGGCTAAAGGTCGCTTGGTGTCCTGACAAGATGCTTTACTGTCTTGCTACGATCATCTTTAATGCTTTGAGGGAAATAACTTCCTGCAAACCTAGAACTTTCGGATTACTATCCAGCTTGAAGGTAAGACTCTCCTAGAGAAATTTCTGTTAACTATTATAACTCAGATACTCCTAAGAAAAATTCAATAGCGATGTTTATAGATGTTGAAAAGAGATTTTGTGTGTGTGTGTCTGTATTTTAGCGTTTAGTTAGCAGTCTGAGTGATGTTTTGTAAATGTGTGCTTTCATTTGTAGCTTAGAAGATAAAGAATTTGAGGAGATGGGTTACAGTAATTGCAACCAAAGTGAAGAGCACGGTTATAATTTTATTCCAAGGTCTTACATGAGACCAAAAAGTCAAAGAAATAGATATATAAAAATAAAAGTAGTCAAACGAGTAGGTGACCAGTCAGAGAATATTTTGAGTCCCAAAAGGTGCCCTAAGTTGCCTGTGACTTTGTAGAAAACAATTAACTTTTCAGAATTACCACTTCTTGTGAGTTCATAAAGTTGGAATTCTTAATTTTGTGTTCACTTTTGAGGGGTCAAGGGGGTTGATTTTAAGAATTATTTTGGAGTCAAAACTTAATATTGCTTTATAGACTTTTTTGAGGTACCTCGAATTTTTAAAGTAATGAAAGTATTTACTGTACTTTTTAAAATGCAAAACAATAAAAGCATATGTAAACTTTTGGAGTTGACTGGCAGTAGATATCTACCTGAAAAGTGACACTGGTTCAAGAGTGGACAAAGAGTATGGGGCTGGTAATTATGTGGTATTGACTAGCTTTGTGATTTCTGTCAGGGTGCTCGTTTTCTGTCAGAACTTCTGGTTTATTTATTATGTGAGTAAATTTTATTACGTGACCACCAAGATCCCTTCTGCACTCCACACTTCTGCAGTATATAAGAAGCTTTTCAAAATCACATGGAAGTCACTACAATTAAAATAACTGCTGGCCCTCCAGAAATAGGAAAGGGTCTCCAAATATAGGAAAGAGTCTCTTATATGCATTAATATAGCACCTAGAAATTTACACCATTTATACCCATGCAAAAGTCTGGAAAATTTTATCTCTTAAAGGGTCCAGCTAAAGTGAACTATCATCTAAATATGTTACTACTTGCACTATACTCTTTTATACTGTTACACTCTCTTATCAGGCCTGACCCTAAATTTAGAGCCTGAGCAAGAGTATGGTTACAGAGGCTCAAAGACCATGTGTCTAAATATTTAAGTTATGAATCATCAAAGTATTATTAAAAATATATTCTATTCTACTAACTTCACAAATCTCCATAAATAATAATCTGGAAGGCCAAGTTTACATTTAGAATTCTCAGACTTATAGATTCCTCAGACCTACACTATTCTTTTCCCATCCCAAGCATCTTCACCCACCTCACTCAACATGTTCAAGCCATGTCCACATCCCTAAACCCCCTGCTAATAGTGATGGGTAATCAGCTGCTCCATCTGCCCTCAAATCTAGCCACTCTGAAAGAGGTGTGCATGCTCCTGGCAGACATGGCCCCTTGACCTCATGGACACCCTGCCCTTTGTAGCAGGAGGAGAGTCCTTACCCAAGTCTAAGGGTAGAACTGGTATAAAACATGCTCAGTTATCTCTCTTCTCTCCCCTGGAGTCAGCCATTCCCTCAAAACTAGATAATTCCTAACAACACTGAACTAGGAGAGAATTCCTACTATTATCACCAAGTCCTACTGGCTTAATCTCTACTAGCACTAAGTGTTAAGTGTTAGTTGCTCAGTCGTGTCTGACTCTTTGTGACCCCATGGACCGTTGCCCGCCAGGCTCCCCTGTCCATGGAATTCTCCAGGCAACAATACTGGAGTAGGTAGCCATTCCCTTCTCCAGGGGATCTTCCCGACCCAGGGATCGAACCCGGATCTCCTGCATTGCAGGTGGATTCTTTACTGTTTGAGCCACCAGGTCTCAGCAACTAGCGCTGAAACCATCCACTTCTCTCCATGTCCAGTGTTGGTACCCTGTTTCAAGTATCACCCCCTCACCTGGATAATTGCACTTGCCTTTTATCTGGTGGTCTTCTTTTCTAATTTTCTCAAATCTGCCAGCCATTCTACCCAGAATACACTTTTCAAAACATAAATCTGATCATGACACTTTCCTGCTTCAGACCCATGTATGGCTTCCATTGATCTTAAACAACAAAATCCTTAATTGACCTACAAAACCCATCATAATCTAGCCACTTCCTCTTCTATTTCAAAGTAAATGGTCTTTAATTTCCAGAATGCACCATACTATCTTTCAGTTTAGGAATATTGCATATGCTGTTTCCTCTACATAGAATGCTTTTCTCTTTGCCTGATGCTTATGTGATGGTTTGGATAATGGATGTAATGGAGGCAGATATCATGAATACCTCCTATATTTATAACCTGCATGGCTTGACAGACAGTGGAACCATTCATTGAACTAGGAAACACTGAAAATGTGACAAGTTTGGGATGCTCTTTGATCTTACACCTGATGAATATGAGGTATCTGCAAGACATCACATCCTTTGGATCTCAGCCCAAGCTACGCTTCATTTACTTGGAGAAGCCTTCTCTCTCGGTCAGGACTAGATTACTAACTTGTTTGTTCCTTTTCTTCTCATCCCCACTTCTTTCTGCTTGTTGTTGTTTTTTACTCACGTCTCTCCCATCTCTTTTCACTCCTCCTCTGTAACAGCAGTGCTATGAAAACATACTCCCCTTTATCCTGTTTCTCCATCTTCTTGTCTGACACCTGGCTGTCATGTGTCAGACAAGAATACAGACACTATATATATATTTTTTAATCTCTCCCATATTCTACTTTATTAATTATTAAAGACTTTGATACATATGCATCCCCTTTACCCTCCAACCATCATTTTAACTGAAGTCAGTGTCCATACTAACGAACCATGTACTATTCTTCTTGTCTCAGTGTTTCTCTTTGGATTTACATTTCCATTCTGTTTCAGCCACAAATTCCAGTGGACCCCCTCGTGATCCTTTTCATCACTCTTCCATCTCTTAAATTCTGAACTGCAGTGCTTTAATATTCAGCTTTCTCACTTTTCTACAATATGCCCTTGCCTTGTAACCTCAGAGAACTCCCGTCTCTACATCTTTCCTTTTCAATTAATTATGATTGCCAGATAAAATATAGGACACTCAGTTAAATTTTCAGATACCCAGCAAGCAGTTAATCCCCTGCCCCCAGTTAATTTTGAATTCAAATAAACAGTGAATAAATGTTTAGTATAAGTATGCATTATACAATATTTGGGATAAGTTTATACTTGAAAAAGTATTCTTTGTTTATCTAAAATTCAAATCTAGCCAAATGTCCCTTTTTAGTTTCCAGTAAATCTGGCAACCCTACACAAATTTATCCTTTCTTTACTTTCTTCTCTATCCAGCCCAGAATCTGTGTATATAATCTGCACCACACATTTGCCATCACCTCAATTCCTGGTACTCTGATTCTCTTCATCTTTATACTGCTACCCCTGCCCCACATCTACCTGCTTCTCTGCTAAGCATTGCTCCCTCTCTTCCATTTAAGTGTCGGGGATTCTTAGGAATATATAGTTGCTCCTTATCTAATTGTGCATACCCCTCTGTGATACTATGCATCTTGGTGTCTTCTGATTTATCGTAAATGCTGACAGTGTCCTAGTCTTTGTCTCCTGCCTTGGCCTTGCCACATGATTCCTGACTCTTATCCAGATGCCAAATGGATATCGCCACGTTTGTAGCCACTTACACGTCAGATTTAATACCACCCATTTTCATCCTCTCATGCATTAATTCTCCTGCATTTTTTTATACACCTCATCATTCAAGTACAAGCTTGCGAGTAGTCTTTATTGACATTTTTTTCCCCCTCATCTCTCTTGTTGGTCAGTCACTGTCTCTAGCCAGTTTCTCTTTTCCATTCCTATTGCTGCCTTTTGCCTTCAGGCCTCAAACCAGTTTGGATTTTGTCATTGATACCTTCCCAACCGGAAGTCTTCCATCAGAAACCATCCTCCATGCTGTTTCCAAAATCATATTTCTAAAATATAAACCTGATTATGCCATAGTCTCTTCATTAATTCCCTTTGGCATATGGGATAAAAGTCACACTTTCTAGCGTAAATACAAGCCATTCTTGATATAACCTTAGCACTCCTATCGCTCTCACCCTCCTGCATATTTCCACTTTTTCATCTATTCTGAATTATGTGTAATTGCCAAGAGTGGCATTCCTTGTTGCTCTGTCTATTCTGCCTGGAATATCCCTCCAAGGTTGGGTTCAAGCATCTCCCTAGTACTGTGCTTCCTGACCTGCCAGAGTAGAGCTGATTGTTCCTTTGTGCTGTCATCATTCTGCCTAGGATCATTTAACGCATTGGTCTCAGCTTCTAGC